AATAGCAGTTGTATTGTATGTAAGGACAATTGCTTCAGTCTATAGATTTTGTAGCCAGTTGGTTACCATATTAAATATTTATTGGATTTACACACATTTCTCTCAGAACCTAATTCTGAAATCCATTCAGACAAAGTCATAGAAAAACCTAGATGTAGTACAACGTAGATAAATAATTGTTACATTGAATTCGAATTGTATACTTTCAAATGTAATGCTTCTAAAAAGTTCTATGAATAAATAGCTATTGCGACATTAGTAGTGGTTCCTAGAAGTACACAAAGTAACATTGTAACAAATCATATTTATATATAAATGGGGACATATCTATAGAAACATTTATTATATACTTGTGACACACTTAAATATGGTTAGAACTATGAATAATGCTGAGATATAATGTTGGAGACATGGTTAAAATGGCGATCTATTATTTTACTTTCACTAGAAATAATAAGTATTATAAAATCACTAAATAACAAAATATTTAGGTTTAATTAAATTAAAATTACCAAATATATAAGAAAAAAATTGTAGTTTTTGAATAAGCAATCTCTGGAATATAGTATTTAATTACTTTTGCCAATTGATCTATCATGCGCTTGTTTAAGTGTCTTTTTTGGTATCTTCTAAATTCAATTCAACCTTATAAGTTCTTAGAATTATGTCATTTACATATATTTTTATAAATCATGCATAATTTGAGTTGATGTAGGGATTTTGAGAATTAATAATTAATAATTCTGCGCATATTCCTATCGGAGCTATAATTATAAACCATTTTGTTTATCTACATACAAACTAAAGATAGTTCATCCTTTCTATTCTGAGATCATGTTCAGAGCTAGTTCCATCATTGGTGATGCCAAAATATACATTAGATATCAGATTAATATTATATTTTATAACTTATAAGTAAAATAATTAAAAATTACTTTCACGTCTATGGTTAATGTGACATAACCCTTATTTGTTTGTTTAATGTGAATTTAAATGTATGAACAGACACATTTATTACCTAATACATATTTATATATTATAGTATACTATTATATATATTCTATACATTACAACACTTAAAGATGCATTTGCAGTACATATGGATCATGATTGTCTTTGTAATTACCCATATTAAATATAAAGACAACTTATTTTCGACATCTGTGTAATGAATTTTAGTTTTAACCAACATCAAAATTTATAGGGTACTTAATTGTATGGCAATTTCATTTTTGATAACAAATTATAAATTTTTATGTTGGTATTCAACTACAATATTTTTTGAGATTTAAAAAATACATGGTTTAATAAAATAAAAGCATCTAGCTTTATAATTTATGTTCTTATATAAAAAACGTTTATTCTTTGTTAAGACTTAAGGCAGTTGTTTGTTTGAAGAAGGTTTTCAAATCATATTATAATTAATTCAGATAAGATTCAGATGAAAATAAAATGAACAAAAAATTATAGGAATGTTCTCACTGCTTTGCATTTGGAATTAAGAATTGTATTTTAAATGGGTATAATTTGTATTAAGATTGTTAAGAAATGACTTTTTGATTCATTCACATTAATATATTATTATAAATTCATACAAAAACATTATATATTATGCATATCTAGTGAGATATTAGTATAACCATTAGATTCTCCCTAAGTTATAGAAATTGTAATATATTTTTAAATTGTTGATAAAACATTTACATTAAAAATTACAATTTTACCACAATTTTTTTTCAATTATCAAACTTATTAGAGACACTTCAGTTTTTACATATTTTTGTAAGCATTAAAGTAAATAAATAAAATTTCATAGTATATGTAATTACTGGACAATATACTTATGGTAAAAGTATTTTTATGTAGCTAAGACATTATATGTAGAAAGTTTAAAGTTTTTAAGTAAACAAATAGAAGTAAGTCTTCCAAAAGTCGACCACAATGTCTAAACATAACCCACTCTACTTCGGTTGTGTTAGAGCTGTTAGTGTTTCCTATCCTGACAATTGTGTGTCCTAGTTTACTTTTAAACTAGAATTCACCATTAGTGTATATTTTACAAGTCAGTGGTAATAAAAACTGTATATCTTATTATATGACAACGGTAAATATTTTAAATTGTCCTTAAAAGAAATCTTGAGTGTGAATATACAGGGTGACTGGTGAATTACTATCAATATTTAAGGAGCATACTCGGTACATGATTCTCATTCGAATTATGTAAAAAAAATAGGCACTTAATTTTTGACAAAATTTCCGTATAAATAAGTAAAGTGTTGACACGTTCCAAGTGTTCAAGTGTGGACACGTGCGGCGGCGTGCTGATACAACACTACGTCACGACACGCGTATGTGTGAGTGTCAGTGTATACCTAATCTGTAGGGTGTTCACACGATGCATAATTAATTACATAACTCTTGGTTAACTTTACTTAGAAGTTTATTAATATTTATGTTATATTAATTTTTATTTTGTCATATATGATCGTCAAATATCACGTCCTCAAATATCGATAGTAATTCACCAGTCACCCTGTATAGATATGTAGAGGATTTATTGTATGAAACTTCCTGTGTAATTCATTATAAATAAATATATTTAAATCCTGCAACACCATATTTGACAGTCTAATGAGGTACTATATCCCTACTAATATTATAAATGCGAAAGTAACTCTGTTTGTTTATTACGCTTTCACGCCTAAACCAATGAACTGATTTTAATGAAATTTGTTACAGAGATAGAGTTGATCTTGAGAAAGAACATAGGATAGTTTTTATCTAAGACTTTTGAAAGATTCCCTTGGAAAAGCAATATAACCGAAGCTGCGGGCGGAAAGCTAGTAAAAAATATGATTTCGCAAATTTTTTATTTTACGATAAAATTTGTTTTTTTTTTTAATAATATCAACTCCAAAACCTGGTATTCAAAATATATTAGTTGTACCATTTAAAACGGTATAAGCAATTAATTAATTCACCAACGACACCGCCATGTTTTTTGACACATACAGAACGATAAAGAACTTTTTTAACTGTCTTTTATCAGCTTGAATAATAAAAGTTACGTATAAGTCCACAAACATATGAAGACATATATTTTAGTTAGAGAAAAAATATTTAATCAAAATTTGACAAAATATAACGTTATTTATATTGTGTGGTGACGTCATACATTACGATGAATGATTTATTATTAACAGTTTAAATTGTATTATATGAAGTACAAAAGTTATTTGAGATATATTTTAACAACATAGGGAACATAATATATCCATGCTTCTCAATCTTCTAAGTCTACTCTGCGTTATCCAAGTTCCGGTAAAACTTGTATTAGAAGTTACGTTATTTGGTCACCATTGTCTTAAGACGCGGTAACCGAGCACCGTACTTTCATCTGACCCCAATGATCACATCTGGTTATGCAATACAAAGCATCTGCCTGTCAAATATAAACATTATTTCATATTAACATATACGAATATGTCATCTATTACCACACAACAAAGACTCAAATTGCATACACGTATATATCAATGTGACCCTTACGATCGTAGGCTCTGTAACAAAAGTCGCCAGCCGCCTATTGTAACCGCTGGATAAATTACATTTAGATTATATAATGAAAGGAATCTGACACTTTTTGTTGGATAGGAAGGATGAGAGTTGCTTGCCGAATAGACGGAAATGTGTACACCTCGGTTCATTGTACGAACATCTTTGTGTGGATGTACCGCTGCTGTCTTTATTCTCATTTAAGCCCTAAGGTGTTTCATACGAAACGTGTTTGTTAGCTAGGCTCAACAATGTCTTGTATGACTGATAATAATATGTATAACTTAAAAACTATGATCTCATTTGACAAACATTCAGTTCGCGTTATATTCTTGAATAAACATAAACATTGTCAACAAGATAAGGTTTTCTCATTTTTATATATAACAAAGTTTTCTTTTCCTTCATTTTAACGATACGTGGCTTTATGTGAAAGAGCCTGGCCTACATCCGGGGCTGTTTATCAGAAACATATGTTCCCAGAAAAGTATAATTATTTATTAATAAGATTTCATAATGAATATTACATAATAAAAAATCAAAACTTTTATATACATCAAATTTATATTAATATAATATATTCATAGCATAGCTTAGCAACGGTTTTGGCAATAATTTTCAAAAAATATATTTAAGCGTAAAAAAATGTGTTGTTACTGGCTGGTGATAATGTAAGTAAAAATAACATCGAAACAAAATGGCCGAACTAATGAATTGATTAAAGCCGCTTCGGGAAATGACTAATTACAAAAAAATAAAGTTAAAACAACGAAATAACAAAAAGTCCTCGATTGACAAATGTACAGGAAATCAACGTAGAAACGTAAATGTAATATTAAATTAATCTCCGGAAAATCCGAATTATTTCCTTCCTTGTAAAACAAAATTCCTGAATATATTCACTGATTTCAATAATAATACAACTAAATATCAATTCAGCTCTCAATGGTGTTTGAAATGAAAAAAATAATTATCTTTTAAATCCTTTAGACACGATGAACAAGCCGTAACCAAGCAGTCAAGGCCGTTTGAGTAACCTTGATATTTTTTGCCAATGACTAATTTCAAGACGAGATTCTCAAGATAGAATTGTTAACGAAATTTTAAAGTATAATTCTATTCCCAACTCCCTGTATATTCTAAAACAGATCTGTCTATAATCTGACGTGTATAAATATTTGTGTTTGAAAAATTATTTCTTAAATAATTCCCAATTACTCGCTGACCGTTATTGACATTATTCATTTAAAATGAAACTAATATTTTTCGGAATAGGTACTACACATTTTTTTTAATACTTAAGTTTCGGTTACTTCGCAGCAACCGTGATTGATCAGACGAGATGTGCCTTAAATATACTAAAATACGCGTAGTAAACCGAAAAATATTAATTAAACAATTCTTAGGAAGACTTTTAATGTAATAAATATTTAATAATCCTTCAGCTCTTCGGGTTAGCAGTCATCGGCATCGGAGTAGCAGTTCTACTGAACTGGTCCGTCATCAGAGAGGAGCTGAATGGTCACCTATCAGTGGCGCCATGGCTGTTCATAGTTATTGGGGCTGTGATGTTCGTGATAGCGTTCTTCGGATGCTGTGGTGCGATTCGGGAGAGCCATTGCATGGTTGTTACTGTGAGTATTCATAATATTTTTCCTCCTTGGCCAGATTAACCAAATAGCGATTCATTTGTATGGATATATGGTCAAGATTTGCTGGACGTAATTTTTCTTTATTACTATAAGGTACCACAAAAATTTAAAACTATAAACAGTTTCTACTTAGTGTTATATAAACACACCAAATCAGGGGCCCTTCAAAACTGTTTACTTGGTACATCAAAGAAATATCATAAATCCTAATAGAATTTATTCTTAAAGTTATTATGTTTTCGATTGACGTATCATTTTTGCCAATTACATATATGTAATCCTATTTGTTAAATGCGATAATAATACAGTTGCAAATTTTAGGATTATGGATTACGTTGGATTAACTTACTCGATGCTCAACATAGCAAAAACCGACTCAAGAAAGTAGTCGTTTTATTCAAGAAAGTAGTTGTAAATATTTCTACCGGTATTTGTTGCTATCGTAATGCACAACGCTAGTTCTCATCGGCCATTGTTTTAAGTATATGTGAAAGCATTTTTGACGTGCCGAGGAATACAATTGTTGTTTCAAAACAAAGGCGAGCTCTCGCAAAGAAATTCTACTTTCGTTCTGCTAACTGATTTTTAATTAACATTATTCGATGTTATTCAACGTCAAACGTTATATTTATTTTTATTTATTTAGTACTATTCTCGACACAACTAATTTTACACTTACATGTCTTTAATACAAACTTTTATCCTCCCCATAATTCCTAATTCATAAAAATTACTGACAGAACTCGCCTTTAGCAGCATCTATCTTTTATACATAGTTTTTCTGTATGTATGTATAATGAAGAGTATAAAAATAATAATTCCAGTACGCGATCTTCCTCCTCGTGATCATCATCGTCCAAGTAATTCTCGCCGTGCTGTTGTTCACTAACGGGGACACAATCAAAGATGGGCTCGTCAAAACAATGAACACGCTTTACAACAAGGGCACCACTGACGCTGCATCCAGGACTGTATTTAACAACTTGGAACAACAGGTAATATGCCAGTCATTTTGGTATCGCGACCCTATGTGCCATAGACAGCCAAGGAAATTATTAAATTAGAATTAAAGACATTCTGTGCAATGGTGGACATCAAAACAAAAAAGAGAAATAAACTTCTAAAATAGATAGATAATATTTCAAAAATACCACCACGATTTGACATGCTTTTGAAAAATAAACAAGCCCATCCTTTTCATTAAAATTTGGTTTCTATTGTAGTGTACAACTTTACCTTCTTTTTGCCAGAGACCCCCCAGTAAGTTTTCCCCTAGCCCCTATGGGTCACGACCCCACAGTTTAAAAACACTGTACTATATAATCAAAATCCTTGTATAGTTGCAATGCTGCGGCAAGAACGGCCCATCGGACTATGGTCTTCTGGAACTGCCCATGTCGTGTTGCTCGCACGTTGGCACATTAGGGAAGGTGCTCGGAAACAGCTGCACGCTTGTGGATGCCAACACTGAAGGCTGCTCCGCCCGCGTCGCTGACCTCTTTGAGAAATGGAGCAAACCTATCGCTGGGGTCTCCATTGGGATAGCTTGTGTTGAGGTAAATTTGTCCCAAGTATATTAATGACATATTTTTCAAAGTAAATATACTATTTTTTTATTTTTATTTGAATGGCACATCAACAGTACATACATTAAGCACTTAAAACTAAACATTTAAAACTGACACTTAACTGATGTGTGTACCAATTATAGATGTACACAGCACTGCTAAAGATTACTGTCTACAAAAAATAATATAAAAAAATAAGTTAACAAAAGAAATTTCATATTGTCTTTATTGCTTTCACGTTAAAATTAATAATATTAAATAAATAGTAGTCAGTGGTGGCTCAGTGGTTAAAGGGCCCGCCTCTCGTCGCCGAGGGCGCGGGTTCGATCCTGGCCCAGGCAAGTACCAATGTGATTTTTCCGATTCATATGTACTTTCTAAGAGTATTTAGACATCACCGATTAATGTTGATTCCCAAAAAGAGGGTTGATGTCAGGCAGGCGGCCGGTCGTAAAAACAAATAGCCAAAAACTTTTCACAACATGTAAGGCAGACCCTGGCTATAGCTGGGAAATTGCCAGGTAGAAGAGAAGAAATATAACTACCAATTTAGCGACATCTGTCGACTCTATACCTGACTTCATACAAAAAATTACTGTTTTGTATCCACCAAATTACACTTGTAAGGGTAATGAAAATCATAGTCTATATTTTATTCTAAAACTTAAGTTATGTTTCATCAAAATTCCTTCAATACATTTTATATTAAACATCAACAAACATCCATATAAAATCACAAATATCTCATTTATTAATATATTTTTTCAACACATCATTGTCTCAGTGTTAACGCAGTATGTTTTCTTCTTCCAGGTTGTCGGGGCCCTGTTCTCGCTGTGCCTCGCTAACTCAATCAGGAACATGGACAGAAGGTCTCGCTACTAATATTTTGTATTAGACCTGGTACCTATGACACAATTTTTTGGTTCTTTTTTGACGCTATACATGGGTTGCTCACTGCATGGTGGTTTGGTTAATTCATCATTTTGATTCACACATGTCAACCAGAAATACTTATTCATTTTTATTTATATTACAATTTTTTTTTCGTTTTCGTGTCTGATAGGTCGACAAAGCAGATTTAAATATCATTTCTAATTATTTTTGTTATAATAATAAATCTCAAGAGAATATAATTGGTTTGGTCTCACATAGATTTTTAAAATATTTTTGCAGTAAATTGAAGTTCTTGTTGTAACATTTATTCTTAATATTTCTAATTCGATACGAGATTTAATAACACTATCAGATTTTGTATAATTCACTTTCACAATCTGTGGTCATCTTGTGGTTAACAAGCTTTGAGATATGTTTTAATGTTCTTGTAATGTGACACAGATAATAAATATTACTTATTAAATATGTTTATCTGTGGCGATGAATAATGTTTTATTTGTTGTCTGTGTCCTCATAGTTTTTATATTTGGGTGATTGCTTTACTAACATTTGCTGTGACAAATAATACTCAAATACATTGTAGAACTCCTGGTTATTGTTTTGTGTTAACAAATTTTATTCTATATTCTATGTGATATGTGTAACAGTAACGATACAGATATATACAGTAAACATTAAAACAAAAGATGATTGACTTAGAATATAGAATATATAACTTAATATGTTAAGATATATAAAAAAAATTATATAAAAAAAATATAGCTTTGAAAGCTTTTTGATATTTTTATTGTACGTTTTATAAAGCTGATTTTGGAACGTTTTAATTTTGCAATAACTTTAAGAAACTATGTAATCGTCGATTTAAAATAAGCTAGCATTTAAACGATTGCCAAATAATGCTCATATATAACAATTATAAGAAACGGCGAGTTTGTAATGATAACGGTGGCATAAATATAAAATAAAAGATATATTGCAAGAGTTCTTTTATTCTGCTTGGTATAATTGCTTTACAAACTACGGTGAGTATGATTTATGTTCAATACTAATAGCATGCCGATTACCAACCAACCAGCCTTGACCCAAAGTCAAACGAGATAACAAAAAAGATAAAAGAATTAGTTTTTACGTGTTTTTAAAAGAAAAAAAAGATTTTTAGACATTTCTCAACAATTTTACATTTGTATTTATACATTGTACAACATGAATTACACATTTAACTATTTCTTCATATTAATAAATAAATTTTTAACAACCCACTTTTGGTCAAGGCTGTTTATTTTTTGTAAAGGCGATAAATAAATAAAGAGGAAAATGGACGTCACTAATAGAAAAAAAAATGTAAAAAAATTATAATAACAACTGGTGTGATAATATTTAAACAGAACCAGAATTGTGTTTGAGTGAAAAATATAATATTCTTAATGATAAAATAAATATTATTATGTATAATAATGTGTTTTAACTACAGGTACGTTTGAAACGGAGACATCACGAGAAATAACTTCGAATAAGAACAATAAAATCGACACAACATACCATATATTATGTACAAGTTATTATTAGTAATGGCCCACCTCGATAACGATTTCAGAACTGTTACCATAAACAAAACAAAATGAAAGTATATGTAGAGGTTTACTTTTTAATATTTTCGCTAGAAACAGTTTAGTTTCACGTATAGATAACTGTTTTATTATTTGTACGTGTATATTATTATTCGTATTATAGAACTGCTCATGAATGTAAGTTCGTTTATGTTTTTTGAGCTATCACAGTATGTTAAAGGACTTTGTTACATTTTGTAAATTATACGAAAGACGGCGCGTCACACGCGTTACACATTCTTTATTTATAAACAATGTTCATTTTTTTTTTGTTTTGTCATTTTATAAATTTATTGCTAATAGGTATTGTTAAGTTAGTTAAGTGACTGTTTGTACTGTTAAACATTGAAATTATAAAAAAGTATTTTCATAAATCACACTCTTTAATGTTACATACGTCCAATTTGAGAATAAAACTATAGTTTATATATGATATAACATTTATTAGGGAGCAATGTCTGTCTGTTACATTTTGAATCTCTTATATATTTCTGATATAACTGCTTTTGTGAATGTTTTATATTGTATGAATAAATAAATCTCAACGAATTCTTGTATTATTTATAATTTTACATTTAATGAAAACAAAATGGATTGCTATCTTAATTTTTCATTCAGGCTAACACAGAAACAAGATTTACGTGATTATTACCTTTTTAATTTTTAGCACAAAAATGACTAGTGACGATTTATTACATCACTAACGCCCACTTATTGAAATAAAACTATTGACTTTCATTTTTATGTTCCCGTTTATATTTCAATGCTGGCAGTTAACTGGAAACACTTATGTGAAACTTATCATTCAAGGATCACGGTTCACTGGTAGTGTAATTGAAGTTGTAATTGCAAGAAAAAATCACGAGTTTTAAACAGAAATTTAAGTGAAAAATTAAAACTGCCTTATTTACTACCAAGCAAAGTTATCGTTGCGAAGGTTTTGGTGTAGTGGGGATAACTTTGCTCATATACACTTAGTGCAACAAAAAGTGCTCACTTGATGCTTAACAATTAAACAAAAACTAGTAACAGTAACAAAAACAGTGGGTTAAATTTAAATGACATGACAATTACATCCAATGGCGCGCATAACATGACAGTGTAAACATCCAATCACGTGTACGGACTTGTGCCGTCTTAATCCTAGCGTCCAGCACCACAATCACAGCTAGAAATCGTTTTCTGAACATCTATCATCTCTTGCCAAGTCACTTGGCGGCTGCCATACCAATGCATCCATACGAGATAGTATAGACTACAGTTGAATTAAAGTACAATTTTTATATGACGGAATAAGCATCTGCCTTTGGATCCTTTCTTCCTATAAGTTCATAATATTTGGACTAACAACCGTACAACTATAAACTAGACCTAACTTTAATCTCTTGCAGTATGTGAACGGCGAGATTGTAAGCTTTCCACTGACTTGACAGTGAGTCGATGCACGAGGTATTTAAGGACAAATAAATCTCCACATAAATATAATAAAATTGCCATTATTCATGAGATGGCAAAATTTTTATATTCTATTTTGAATGTTTCGGGTTGCACAAAAATTTACACATTCAAACAATATAAAAACAATATTGTAACTTGTTTAGTACAGCTGTTTAGCTAGAAAATGAAAATTCCAATTTTACTGTTTAAATGAAACGTAAAATTTATATATTAATAATTTAAAAAAAAACTAGTTCCAAATAAAATAACTTATAACTTATTTTGATTAATTTTAATAATAGTTCCATGGTTCATTCATTCCAAAGAGCGTCAAAAACTTTCCATAACATAAAATAGCCATTCACCAGGTGCAGAACTTTATAAACAGGTGCAAAATATGTAAACAATTTTGTATTTAAAACTGAAATAATAAAAAAATGATTTAAAAAAAAAACAACATTTTATATATTACAAACAGACAATATTGTATAAAGTATTTTTAATGGAGTACCAAACACAATTTAGAAAAATAACAATAAAAGTATTTCACTTATTGTATTCGTAGGTAAATCAAATATTTGTATTTATTTAAAATAAGTCACTTCCCTGGGTTTTACTTACTTTTATTAGTTTTTTCTTTATCATGTATAAATATGTTCCCAACACTTCTAGTCCTCTTTTAGTTTGAGAATATATTTTTTTATTAAAAATGGTAATCACATGTTTTTCTTTTCATTGTATTGTAGGAAAATCCATCTCTTTCTGAGAGACACCTCTGGAAGTTAGAAATATTTTGAATTACTTTGTAAATAAAGAGACCTCTGAGGTTGCAATTATATTAACATTAAAATAATACAGTTTATTATTATAGTGGAGTGCCGTAAGACATAAAAATGGACAAACCTCGGAATCCAGGTCCAGTCAATGAATCTGTATATCAAGTATGAGACTGCATTATTAAAACCTCAAATAAAAAAGTTAAAAAATAAATTTTGACCGATCTCGATTTATACTATTTTTAACAACAATTTACTGAAAAATGAGAGGAGGAAGGGGAAAAAAGTTAATATAGTGAAAAATTTAATTTTATTTGTAATAAATAATATGTTCAGATTAACTACAATTTTTATTTATTAGACTAACTTTTGCCCGCGACTTTGTCCGCGTTAATTTCGTCATTAGTAATATATGTATAGCTGACCGGGCGAACTCTATTCCGTCTAAGAGGGCATAAATAATCAGGTTTTTCCTATTCCAATCGAACAGTATGATTGACATATAAGTTAGTTGTCAAATCTAATGTAAAAAAAACGTTTGTATGGGAAATAGAAAAGGGCTGTTTTTATGGTTTTCCCAGTAATGAATCAAATTTTTCCACCTTTTATACCTTCCCTGAACATCCATGAACATTTCAAGACTAAGATAAGATAAATCCGTTCAGCTGTTCTCGAGTTTTAGCGAGACTAAGGAACAGCAATCCATTTTTATATATATAGAAGATTATTATTAAAAATAAGTTACAAAAAAATATATATTATTAACTATACACATTGTTACATCATTGTACATTATTGTCGTCGTCGTCGATCTCGTCGATATAGATTGTAGGTGAAGGATTAGTGCAAATTCAATAAAATCTTTTAGCACTGATACCATTCGAAAATAGCTGATCCATAATCTGGACGTTTCGTTTTTATTCTCTAAATCATGTAATTTTTTTTCGAGAATTTCATTTAAACTTTGAATTCCAATATTTTCTGTTATTTCGGTATAATTAATCATTACAAAAATATTGGCATTCGTTTGATCAGCAATGACAGTTTTGAATTCCGAATTATTTTTTAATAGATCACCGAAAATTAATCTTGATAAAGCTAGCTGCAGAAGTATATGTGCGCGTACCGCTCTAGCATATGCTCGTCCAGACATGATATGATCGATTGTATTTGTGGCATAAATCGTAGAGAGAACTTCTTTAATTCCACTTCCGGCCATTATATAACCAATAGATCCCATATAGGACATTAGCGTATGAAAAAAAACCAATCTGACAACAGTAAACGTTTCATCTGATAAACATACCGCTGAAGTTATACCTCGCGATTTAATGTACAAAGGTTGATCAAAAGTTACAATGCACGTCTTCATATTTAACGACTGTGCGTTTTCTACTGATGTTTTCATCGCCGTATACAAAGTATTATAATCACTTGGAGATGCGTTAATGAATGGTAAGAATATTATTGACGAAGTGTCAAAACCATTTGCACTAGTTAACAGATTCATAAATCCGTTGCATCCTGGAAATTCATTATTAGTTTAGTTTTGAGGGAATTGTAGCCTGTAGGGGTTAAATATGGTTCTTCCTCCGAAATTTTGATTTGAAGTTTTCTCAATCCTTCACCGGCAGAAGCAGGATATACTTGAAGCGGTATATGACCATGTTCGGACATGGTTGTCTCTGTTGGAATTTTATCCAAACGTTTAATTGGTTCTCTAGTTAGTATTCCATCGCTCGGAATTACGATTTCAATCAAACCCAAATTATGGAAAGTACCTTTGCCATCTAGTGTGTTGACATTGAAATCTGCGTTATCGTGCACAAATTGTACAAAAGTACCTGGTTTTATTTTCACAGAATCTGTAAACGTTGCAGAAGCTTCATAGATTATTGCTTCTTTGTATGATCCACAAAAGCCCAAATTGTTACATATTTCTATAATTTTTTTGGAGTCAAATTTTCTATGCAGGGTAACAGCTAAAGACGTCTACTGTTTAATAATTGGAAAACTCATAAACATCGTTTATGACCTCAGTAAAGAGAAATAAATAAATTACCCCACGCTAATTGACCCATATGGGTCCCTAATGCTATCTCACTCAGTCAAAGCATGTTTCTCTATCTTTGTCACTTCTATAAATCAATGAAAAAACCAAAAAATTAAAAAAAAAAAAAAATTAATTTTTTTTAAAATTGAGAGCGCGAAAAAATTTTTTTTTAACTTTTTTCTTTATACTATTAAAAACATGTTTTCAAGGTTTATATTAAGATTCATTGACTGGCCCTGGATTCCGAGGTATAATCCTTACGGCACTCCACTATTATACTTTTAAGGAGTCTGCCCACTACACCGTATCATACCATGACCGTGCTATGAACATATCAAACACAGAAGGTTATACGGCTTGCTTTGTCCACTGAAACTAGTCGACGGCTTTTAATGTCCGTATGATGCCCGTATGATGCTGGTATGGTGTCCGTATGCAACCCGTACGTTGCCCACCCGTAATTTGTATGACTATTCATAGGAAGCCGTTTAATTATCGCATGTGTATCGGTAAGGCCTGGACGTCTGGGGAGTGGTTTCAAGTATTAAAATAATAAAATAGGTATGGCTATTAAAAGATTAACTGTTGGACAACTGGCAATGATTGCCATAATATTGGATGAGGAAGAAGAAGAGAACCAAAAACCCACTCGTCGCTACTGGATTCACGATACAATAAAAAAACGAAAAACTGAAGGAGAATATTGGTTTATAACGGTCGTTATACGCGGTTATAACCCGTATTATCACCGTTTTGCTGCCAGCACGCATCGGTTTGGCAACGTCACGTGCCATGCGCGGAGCGTATCGGCACCGGCAGAATATTCTCGCAGACAATAATCAACGCTCCGTGCATGGCACGCGACGGTGCGAGTCTGTGACGGAACGGTCTAGTGGGCATAGTATCATGCTTTTCTATACAAAGAATACTTTTTTGCCTGACACGTTCCTATTACGGTCATGGTATGATACGGTGTATTGGGCAGACTCCTTCAATCTAACTCTTAATATTTTCCGTAAGGCTAGTTATCAAAAATAAAGGTAACTTTAAAAGTAACACGAAAATCGTATCAGACAAAACAACATAACTTTGTAACCTTGTGTCTTTGCTTTTTGTATTTTTTTCTTTAGTTTTGTTCAATAATTAACTAAAACTATCGGTTACAAACCTTGTTAATTCAATTAAATGATAAATAAGTGTTCTATCATATGTGATCTATTCTCAAGACACTATAATAATTTTTCAAAGTTGTCTCTATATTCTCTGTGTAAATATCCTATTTGAATACTGACAGCTGACATTTGTGTGAAAGTAGATGACATTTCATGGATTCAAAATTCATCGCATTGTAATTGTCAATTCGTCGATGTACTTAGTTGACTAGTATTTACGTTTCATATTTTCGTGAGTTAGGGTTTTCACCAAATTATCTAGTTCGTAATGTAAATCTGTGTATCGGGTTAAATGATCGAGAAATATAGACGGTTCAAATATTTATCGCAGTGGTTCAATAAATAGGAATGTTTATGAAACTTTCTAAAATGGTATATAAAAAATATTGTGTTGTGCTTCTGATTTTCGCTCTAGCGATAGTTCAGGCTGTCGGTTACGACACGGAGCTGTTCGAGACCGTCGCCTGTGATAGCACTGCATGTTTTGATTCACTACACGGAGCTCTGGGTGATTGTTCCTGTAATGTTGACACGATCGACTATTTCAATAATGTGAAGATATTCCCTCGCATCCAGAGTTTGGTGAGCAAAGACTATTTTCGTTTCTACAAGGTCAACTTGAAAAAAGAATGCCCGTTTTGGGCCGACGATAGCAGGTGTGCCATGAAATATTGCCATATAAAAACTTGTTCCAAGGAGAGTGTTCCCGGTTTCGAGAATGACTACGAAAATGAACTCGAGGAGGAACCACCGGCTCTTAAGTATTCCCAGGAGGCCCAGACTCCATGTAACAGTGACGCAGACCATGATCCCGCTCTCGGATATCTTAACATGACCCTAAGTGTCGCAAGTCAATTCGAAATCGCGAAATGGAAAGCTTACGACGATTCTGTTGGTAACTTCTGTGATTGTGATGATAAAGATGCTGAAGCGGAATATGTAGACTTGTCATTAAATCCCGAGAGATACACAGGGTACAAAGGCACCTCCGCACACAGGATTTGGAGAAGCATCTATGAAGAGAATTGTTTCAGACCTAAGGTTAATCCATACAAATCTTTTCCTTATGTTTTAAGCTCGGATTTAGGCAATATGTGTTTGGAGAAAAGAGTTTTCTATAGAGCAGTTTCTGGGCTACATACAAGTATAAACATACATTTATGTTCAAAATATTTGCTATCAGAAAAGAAGTTAGGTTTCGCCGCTCCACCAGAAGGTGAATGGGGACCGAACCTGGCTGAGTTCCAACGTCGTTTTGATCCATCCCAAACATTTGGTGAAGGTCCAAATTGGCTGAAGAATCTATACTTTGTATACTTACTTGAAATGAGAGCTTTGGCTAAAGCCGGACCGTATTTGGAACGCGAAGATTATTTCACCGGTAACCCTGTCGAAGATGAGGAAACAAGAGATGCTATACGCAACATGCTAGGAGTTATATACACATTCCCCGATCACTTCAATGAATCATCTATGTTCAACGGAGGCAGCCCGGCTGCAAAATTAAAACAGGAATTCCGAGATCATTTTTGGAACATTTCACGTATAATGGATTGTGTTGGATGTGATAAATGCAAGTTGTGGGGCAAGTTACAGACCCAGGGTTTGGGGACCGCACTCAAAATATTATTCTCCGGCCAGTGGGATAGTTTTGATGAGGAAGCGGAGAAGGGGAGAATAGTACTGCGGCATAAAGCACACAAGCGCTTACAAAGGACTGAGATAGTGGCACTATTTAATGCCTTCGCAAGATTATCAAATAGCATAAGGGAATTAGAAAACTTCAGGAATATGCTCAGGTGAGTTATTTGCATGTTTTTTATTTATTATTATTTCCTTGTGTTGCTTGTTAGCTTCAAACCTTTGATAACATCATTAGTGCTAACATATTTATCGCTTCGGAATTATTACGCTTCATGTGTGTGACTTGTGACTTTCACTTTCTTCTTCACGACTTGCGAAATATTTGTGCTTGCTTTGATAGAAATGTAACAATTTTTTTTTATGTTTTTTGCTTGTTTTAGCGATATCGGGAATATTTATTATCGGTTTTAGTATTAATTACAAAAAACCCGCGTTTATTTTGCCCTATTTACGTTCTTTTTCGGAATTTCCCTCCTAAATTCTCCATATTAAAGCTGTTACAAGATAACAGCTGTTTTTTTTATTAATCGGAGAAAAATATTGTGTTCGAATAATCCACTCTAACATTTGTTTGATATAAGTTAATTGCAAAAAAAAATATAGAGTGAAATCGATCGCGATAAGAAAAATATTTTGTGTTAGAAACATTGGTTTTATTAATTTTAGTTTTATAATATTCAAATTTGTTTGAAAATATTGCACCATAGTTTCGACATATTAAGCAAATAATAATAAAAGCGGGATTGTTGACTCTCAGATCAGCCCACAGGCTTACGTGGCTCTCGTCACATGTCTGTCTGTGCACCTGCTCACGAAATATGTGAGCATATGCTGCAATAGTTATGTGATAGTATTATACCGCTGCTTCGCTCGTGTTTGCATTCTATTGTATGAATAACATTTTTCTTATTTATTATGAAAAAAATCCTCTCTACAAGAATTTATTACGTAATTCATTCATTGCATCACAGATCGAGGTCGTTTTACCTAAACTTTCTTTGCATTCCGATAAAGGGAACTATTATTTATGTTATATGAATTTTTCTGGTTGAAAATGATGAGGTGTTATTCGGTGTCACTACCAGCATCTGAATATTGAAATCAAGTCAAGGTTTTTAATGCTTGAAGTCATACCTTCATTATTCATATCACTTTACAAGTGTAAATTTCTGTTAAACTAAATAAAAACTCACCGTTTCTATATTATTAATGTCAATAATGATTTACGAGCTCTTATTTTTATGCACCTTTTTTATATTTATTATAAAACAATGCGTTTTATAATAAATATAAGAAAAAATTTCTTGAAATTCTCGATTTTTTGTCGTTTGAACTAAATAAATAGTTAATAATTGTATCAAATGAAAATGATAGCATATCGTTTTATAAACAAGGAAGTTTTTCACCAATATTTGAGAAATGTCGATCCTTCTTTAATGTATTTGTAAATAATAATGTTAGTAGGCGAAAAAAATTCTGGTTTACTCCCTAGTACTCAAGATTATAAAATCTTTCAGAAAATAAAAAAGGTGACATTTTCATAATATTCCAAGATTCCAGTGCGAATGAAGTCATAGTATAATAAAAAGACGAAAAAATAATAAACTAACGGTGATTGTATTGAGAAATAATCAAAATAGGTGAACATTAATATAGTGTTTATGTCTTCTTTCATCTGTTCATGAAAATTCTGTTCTCTAGCACTTTAGGTGTTAGAATTTTCGTTCTAGTATATTAATTAATAAAATCTGTAATCTTCTTACACAATAGTACCTACTTAGATATAAAAATAAAAAAAAAGAATTAAAACTGTTTAGATTGCCGATATTAACTGGTAGAATTATTACTATATTCATAGCTAGATAGTTTCTATATTTTTTATTGATATCCAGTTTTATTTGTTTTTCAAAGCAGACAAAGTGTTTGTTATGTTACCAAAGGATTACCAAAACGTTCCAGGTGTCACGTAGTGGGCGGTAGTGATTCATTCTATCTGCTTACGTGTATGTTACTGATAGGATGACATAATTACAAATATACTGTGTGTTATATAAATTATCATTTTATATATAAATTAGCTGACCCGGCAAACGTTGTTTTGCCATGTAAAAATAGGGGTTGGTGATAAAAATGTAAAAATTTTGGGTTGTATGTATTTTCAATGCTGCATTATAAAAAAATAAAAACAAAAAAATTCGTATGAAAAAAAATTGTGGGGACTTAGAGGTATGAAAAATAGATTTTGGCCGATTCTCAGACCTACTCATATGCTCACAAAATTTCATCAAAATCAGTCCAGCCGTTTCGGAGGAGTTCCCTGTCTAACACCGCGACACGAGAATTTTATATATAAGATTATTATTAATTCAATAGTAATATGTACAATATTCTTTTGTACTTGACATTTGACGATAGTTTGGCGTTTTGATTTTTTAGCTATTTATTTTAATAGTTTTCCCGCGTTTTGTGTTTAATGTATATAGAACCTCTTTGTTCAAAGGTTTTTGAACCATACAACGGGAACTCCCAGATTGTTATCAGTTATAAAGAATAATCATTCATTGATAATAATTAGGATTATTTCATTGTATGTATATATATAATACAATGACAATGTGATTGTGTACAAATGATGAAATAAGCATTGTCCGAAATTACTTTTGTTAGCTTAAATGGTAATTGTCAAACCGAAAATAACATTAATTTTTTTTATTTTTTTGTGGCTGTGATTTTATGTAGTTTCTGAATTTATTTCTACATTCATATTTAGGAATAATAATAATTGTCAAATCTTTTTGATAGTATTATCGTAATATTTATTTTAATCTGTTTATAAGTAAATAAGCTGATAACATCAAAATTGTATATATTTTTATCTATTAGTATTATTTAAAATTTATTTAAGTATTGTTTTATCAATTTGCATGTTGCATTTATATGGTGACTGTTTGGGGCATTGATGTGGTTATAGAATTGTGTTCAAATATTGAATTTAATAGAATTTTTTATTTTATTTATATGTATGGATAAATCCAAGTTGTAAAACTGATAAGTCAGTTCTATTAGTTATTTAATATTAATTATTGTAACAGCGCCCTCACAGACGGCCAGAAGGACGTGTATAGCGGAGCGGCCGGTGACATGAAACGAGAGCGCTGTACATCAGGAGTATCGAAACCTAGCCTTTGGAGTTAGATATATAGATTAGAAACCAGGAGTTCCCAACCAGGAGTTTCCCAATTTATTGCAACATCTATAACAAGGAATCACGGTACAAAAACGGTTGGGAACCCCTGGCGAATACAGAATAAGAATTTAATATAGAAATTATCGTATGGTTTCGATCTGTGTCAAGTGTCAAATATTTTGACGTTTACTATAAACCTGTCAAAGTGTTAAGAATTGGTTTTTTTAAATTTTGTTACGATTTGTATCATCACATTATTCCAGTGGTAAAATGAATTAATATAAAGCTATTTATACACAGTTTTATAGTAACCAACTAAATGGTTATATAATACGTTATGTTGATGACAAAACGCCCTATAGATAAAGCAAGTTCTACAACAATTAAAAGTATACACGGTTAATTGTAACGAACTTTCTAATAATTTTGTACAAATTATTTTATTTATTTTATATGTATATGTTTTTAATGGGTCTCGCTGTCACAATAAGTAAATGTGTTGACAAAACTACGATTTTATATTACTTAAGTGTATCTAGTCACATTTTTATGTCATTTATACAGCATTGACATTTTCTTTATGTCAAAATGACAGATGTCAGGTTACATAACTTTTTTATTTAATGGGCTTAGGTTTGACCTGGGTGTTTTTGTCTAGAATTAAATTGTGTCTCTTCGCATCATAAGTTTTCTTTAAGAAAGAAAAAGAAATTAATTTCACCTTTATATTTCTCTTGTGTTATTTTGGAACATGACAAATTAATGCATAATATTAATATTGTTTTCTAATATCTAAGTTATTATTATTTTTCGTTCTAGTTGACTTTTCTTTCAGTATTTCTAATAATCCTTTCATTGTTTCTGGCTTGTGAATTTTAAAGCGATTTTTCATATCGAATTGTTAATTTTATCGCGTTAGTTAAATTTAACAACTCCGTAGGACTAATTGGAATTGTTTTTTAACCATAAGTCTGTTAGTATTTAATTATATTTGATAAAATATATTCCAACAGAAACATTTTTTTTTGTCACAATTTTTACGTTAAGTTAAAGCCTGTGATGTTTTGAGGACTATTTATAATTTATTTATAATATTTAAGATTTGTCGTTTATAATATTAAAATAAATTTTATCTAATATACACGTTTGTTTTAATTCGCTTCGCTTTCACTAATGAATTTCGTGTGTTAACTTTACCGACGGTTTGTCTGTTAGTCTATTAGTATTAATTTAAAAATATATGAGTTAAAGGATCTTTGTTATAAAAAGTTAAAACATTATTAAAAATCCCTTTCGTTTTTCAGGTCCCATCGAGAGAGGGAAGCTTTTATTTTGTGTGAGAAAATTTTATAGAACAATGTTATATTTATTTAGTATAATAAAGTAATTGGTGCTTTAGATTTTTTCATTATTAAGAGATATTAAAATAATAATTAGGTTTTAGAAAAAAGGATTAAAATATAAATGAAAAGCATAAAGTACTGAACGGAATCCTTTATTAAACCCATCTTGCACAGTACATTACCATACTGCTCACTACGTTTGTACTGTCCAAAGTACCTACCTATATATATATAAATTCTATGTCTTAGGTTCTTTAGTACTAGATGCAGACATTCAGATCCGCCGTGTAACCAATCACAGTACGGCCATCTACATACATAGAAATGGTACATTACAATAACGCCGATAATTATAGCTTTACATCTAATTAAAGGGAGATATATGTAGGAACAATTACATTATAAAAAATATTACATTGGATCCCAGTTAACACTTTAGGAGGATAATATTGCTGTTATTAAATTCTTTGAATTACATACATTTCAAATTATATTAAATATCCGAATACACGCACCGAAAATATTAGTGATTTATTTTATATTAAAAAAAACAAATTTGAAACGAATTCGCGTTAAGAATTGATTTTTCTATAGTTTGTTATTTGATTAAAAATAAACTAGCTCGTGACGTGTATCCGAATTAAATGAGTGTTGTTATAATACATATTACTGTTAAATTACGTCATAAACACTAATAAGTTCATTATTTTAGAAATCCATTCGAGTCATTCTGTTACATCATTAATAATAGATATAAATCTTCGTTATTGTCTTCAATATTCACCATTAAAACAAAGCCGGTTTAAAATAAACAATTTTTTTAATATATAAATTATAAAAAGTGTCGCAGCGTAACAAGTGGTGGCAAAAAATTGGTATTTCAGTTTAAAATTGCTTTGGTTCCGCCATTTCAATAACTACAAGTAAGAGTACAAGCCGCATGTATCTACTAAGATATAGGTACGAGGTTCAAAACCGTATTCAATGAAATACATAGCAAACTTTGACGAGTATTAATTGAAAGATTATATATGATAACTATTATATTATATAATAATTATTATAGTGATGTATAAAGATCGATGAAAACAAAACATCGATTAATACTCGTCCGAAATTAGACACGTAACAATAGAAAACAATACAAATTCATGATATGTACCTAAGTATACACAAATCGATAATCCGCAAAAGAAAAATTACAACTCAATAAATAGCATTCAATGACATCGTAACATAATATATATATACACTTAAAATATACTTTAGTACCCTTCGAGTAATGAATTTAAGGTTATACGTTTGTTATATAACGACATCTCTATAAATAAATTAATACTAGAACAATATGTAAGTAAATAATTATCAATATTTACACGAGAACCTAAAATACGTCGAACGGGACGCAGCCGGTCCCGAACTGACGTCCCATTACTGTCATATAACCTACGGCGAGTTACAACTAACGGACAAAACACTCTTATACCCAACATCAACTTCATCGGTTTGAAAGGAATCCATTTAAATGTATAAGAAAATAATTGGGTCTTAAAGTTATATACAAAAATATCACATTACTTCGAGGCCGCAGCTTTCATTTACTTAGTCATTTAATTATTACGTCTTCTTACTTAATACATAACTGTTGGTTCGAAGCGTAAGCCAAACAATGCAGGAAGTAATCAATCCAATGTTATCACGGTCAGCTGTCAGAAGCAGTCAGCGTCAAAGGTGACGTTTGAAAATCAATACGGCGCGGCGGTACGCTTTGACATTAAAGTTATTGTAAGTAAAAGCGCGCTAAGAAATATGTTTTCGCGCCAATTCGTATAAAGAAAACGATCCACGCCTCACAGTATGCCGTTCTTATACCAACTTCGAGGAAAATATTAAATCGATTTCAATAGTTTAAATTGAGAAACTACACCTACGATCTAATCCGAAGGGTGGAATCTAAATGCTGCAGCCTTTGTTGGCGTCGCGTCTGGCCACTAGTTACTATTTGGCTCAAGTCACTACGGCTGACTACGATTCGCTAGACGACGCATCACAAGCGAGAGATGAGGAAAAAATTAACTCAATGCATCATGAATACCAAATACACGCTATCATCGAGTGCACTAAATCATAAAAGAGGGAAAAGTATATAAAAAAAAATCACTATCACGAAAATTACACAAGCATATCTAATATTATTCAACAGTCTATTATTGTGCTACATCCATGTTCCGATAAGACATACATGTTTTTAATGGATAATCGAAATCGTTTAAAACCATGGCTCTATAAGGACAATAGCTGCACATAGTCCAGTCTACGTGTGTTTGGAGTCAGGTGAGGATCCGGCTGATAGTTCGTCGAGGAAGTCGAATGTTGCGACGGCGGCCTTCTCGGGTTCAGCGTAGCGCACGAAGAATCCGTCCCGACCCAGTATGGAGGGGCGGCGGTGGCGCGCGTGCCGCAGGGCTCCCAGGCCGCGGAGCCGGAGCGCCGCCGCTGCACGAACACAGGTTAGCGCCTCGCACGCGCTCGCCCTGAACCCAGCGCCTGAGCCGACCCACCCTCGCTCAACCAACCCCCAAACCCTCTACAGCGCCGCTCGCTATTGGCTATGTTTCTCATCCATTATAATATAACTTTATGACGCTAGTATACATTACAGTATAAGAGTAATATTACTAAAACTTATCATTATTATTTTTTTAATTTTATATTCTTCCATCTATACGTTTGGATTGAGTTAACAAAATAATCAGCGAAACATGGCCAATAGGATAAATAAATCGAATATTAAAATCTAAATTTTTATGGTTCCCGGAGCGGCGCTTTTAATGTAAAATCTAGTCAATGAGGCGAGAGTGAGATGGTGCGTGAGTGAGAGAGAGGGAAACAGTGACGTGGCTTGTGATACTGACATGACACACTGACACTGACGGGAACACGCGTGTCAGATATGACGGACGCTATATGTGACATAAGTGATCCCTTCATTATACAAACACACATCTCACTTATAGGGCTCAGATAGTATATAAAATATTGTGCAGTCAGAAAAACGATCAACTCTCGCACCAAACGATATGTGTGTTTGTTAAATTAAAAAAAAATATGTAATTAAACACAAACATTTAAATATGAATATTATAATTTTAATAAGTCGATAAATGATTTCAATATTACATGTTACTCTACACTTTGCACTATTTTTATAATATTCACACCACACATTAAAAGTATATTAATCACAGAGAAGCTAAAAAATAAATACTTAAGATACACCGAAACAAGCAATGACAGTTATTAACATATGATTTGGAGATGACATTCACAAAATTTACAACAAAAAGAAAAGTAATCATAATTAATGATTAGAGTATAAAAGAACTATAAAATGATTATAAAGGTTTAAATATTTCTACAATTTCAAAGAATATATAGAATATTCTAAGTTGTTCAGACAAAATATATCATAATTTCATAGAAAGTTACGTTTTATACTTTTATACAATGTCATTCATAAATTTGCAACAAATCGATAGTTGAATACAAATTTATCATAGATTTATTTGTTAGCTGTAAATAGGTAAGACCAGAAAGTGTGCACAGTGTGCATACCCTAGAAATATAGAACCTTCACACTAACACATATACAATTTTTATTACATCTCCAAGGCCAAGATTTATTTAATGCAAGTGGGAGTGAACAATGAGAACACAACACTTAATGGAAGCGATATCGACGGGCAGAAATGATACTTTTAATGAACATACAACATTAATCATCTATCAAAGCGATTTAATTTATCGATTCGAAAAACAAATACAATGAGTATCATTCCCGCCCTATCTGACATTGACATTTGACATTAAGTGTCAACGTCTATCCATAAACAGTACTTAATATTTACCGGTCTTCTGTCGTCTTGAGCGATGGAGCCGGTGTAGCCGGGAGTATGGAGGCTGTTCCGCGGGAGACGAGCCGCATGATGATGGAGACGAATCACTTGAAGCTAGCATCACGTCCAAGAGATTAGCGCGAGCCTGGAATTATAATAACACTTCTTGAAATATTTTCATACTATAGATAGAATAACTTTTAGATTGGTAATTATATAGTGCTAGAAGACCCGGCGAACTTCGTATCGCCCTATAATCAAGAAATATCTGTTACGTTTTTTATTTATTTTTTTGGAGTTTACCTATTAATGCCATAAATCTCCGTGCTTTGAAGTGCGACAGAATTATTGACATATTAGTTAGCTGTCAAATCTAATGTCAAAAAGAAAAGTCTGTATCAACAACTACTAATTAATTAAAAAAAACATTGTCCAACGGACGAAATTGTGAATCTAAACCATTCCCAGAACACACACAAAAAATTTCATCAAAATCGGTCCAGTCGTTTGAGAGAAGTTCAGTGACATACACACTCACAGAAGAATTAAATATATACATATATAAAGATTACCTACATAAGCAAAAATTTAAGTATTACTTGTAAATGCCAAGCAGGTGTGTATATAATTTGACAATTTGAAAAATATTATTTGACAAGTACCTAGATCCATTTAAAATTTAGTTATATCATAAGAATATGGACGAGCATTAATTCATTCCATTAATACCTTTGGGTCACTGAAGTCAATGTCTTTTTCAACGTGAACCCAGCCGGTGGGCGCCCATAACGCACTATCTTTTTGTCCATATTGTTTTTCTTGTCCATCTTCAGTTTTCACTTCGGTTGTTGTCGCTGCACCTTCGCTTTGGCGAATCATCCTGAAATATATGATATCAAATTAATACTTAATTTGTCAAATTGATTTCAAACGTGTTATCGGTCGTGATCATACCTGTTAAGTTCTTCTATGACCTCTTTCGAGGTAGCAGCTTCGTGGAAGCTCAGTGTGTTTTCTTGTTTGACGATAATAGGTTCTGGTTGCGGCGTTGTTTGTTTCTGCGCTGGTTTTCCTCTGTCCGAGACTGGGATCTTCGACCTCGTCTTGTGTGGTGACGAGGGTGGTCTTTTGCCACCCGTTAGCATCGGTATCCGGCTTTTTTCGTTTCTGCGTCTCACCTCTCTGTTGAAACTCTCATTCTTATTACTAACTATCACAGTTTCAGCTGTCGACGTGCTCGTTGTGTTTGATTCAGTCATTTGCGGCGAGCTCGTTTCGGGCGAGGAGCTCTCCTCTTCTTCTGGCACGGTGTTGAGTGACGTTCTTCTACAAATAGTCAATGTTTCATCGACTACAGATATTTCATTTTCCATAGCGCTTTGAAGACTCGTGGATTTGGGAAGGGACGCCTCTATCTCTCTTTCATTAGACCCTTCTTTGTTCACTATTATGTTTACTGTATTCTCTTTTAACGCCGAGTTATGTTCTAAGGTTCGACTAGATTCGTTATCACAAGTTTCTTCATCTTTCTCTGTGCTCGGTGGCTCTAAGTCGGCTAAGTTATTAATGTCAATGTTTCTATTAATTTCATTCTTTCTCTGTACCTTTAAGAGATGGTGGGCATCGATTTCATTTTCTGCATTTTCGACACGCGACATGTCATAGTAATCTTCAGATTCGACGTAAGGATCTTCGCGCTCTATGAATCGAGGTGTAGATCTTGGCTCGGATATATTTTCACAAATAGGGAGTCTTGTTCTATCGAGAGGGATGACGTCACATGAATCGTTTTCAGAAAAACTGCCGAACGAATCCGGTCTTTGCCGATCTTCTGATATTTCACTGCGGGGATCTACGGACTCGTCGTCAAAATCGGCAGCGGCGTACGGAGGAGGAAGTTCACGTATTTCGGACACAGGTCGAGAAGACATAGAATCCGATTCTTCTCTATCACGACAGTACTTCTGCTGTTCTGCTATAAAGTTGAGAACATTCTGCAGCGCCTGTTCACGATCTTGCAGCCCCACAGTCTGAACATCAGTTATTCTTAAATGGTTCGCTGGATCTTGGGTTGTGACGCCTTTTGATGAATTGGATGCTAAACTTTTCGTGCTTTCATATTTGACAAGTCTGTAAAAATCCCTCGTAAAGTCTAGTCCTATGTTAGCACAGTCGCCGTCTTCACTTAAGGCTGTACTAGATCGTTTTTCAGGCGCATCTGACGCGCTGGACCAGGACCCGCCCGGGGAATGTGTTCCCGTGTACTCCCATCTCTTCTCTGAGTTTTCAACTTCGTCACCTATTCTGCATTCATCGATTTCGACCGTCGCAAATCCGCAATCATTCCACAAACAATCACCTACATCCTCTTCTAACTCCAGCGCGTCATCTTCTCTAATGCTCGGTAATGTTGAATGAGATATCTGACCGGGGGTAGTTATCTCAGCGAACGGGGATTGTCTGTCTCTCAGATCCTCACACGAGAGGGACAGGCTCCAGTCTTCCAGTTCCGCTCTATCATACTCCAAGTCCGCGAGATCCCTATGTCTCTGTTGCAGGGCGGATCTGGCGTCGTCTAATTCTAACCAATGCTGAACGTAATCAGCGTCGTACTGTGACACGTCAGCACGTTCGTCAATGGTGCTGCCCCACGACACTCTCTCAGAGCTCGTGGTGGACGCTATAGCTGGCCGTCTCAGCGGTCTTTCTGGAGCAGGTTTCAGATCTAAAACTAAGATGCCGGAGCTCGGTGAGGGTGTTTCCAAGCAGCTCGGCGGACACGACGTGCTGGTCAATAACTTTAAGCACAAATGAGAGTCTGAGAAACTTCTCACGACGTGCTGGAAAGGCAGCACCGGCCGCGACGGCGGGTAGCTGCCTCTTATGCCAGCGAATGCTACACCTATAGGAAAATATATATAATCAGCCTCAGCTATCAGTCTGGCGCGGCGCCGGGGTTCTCTGGGGTTGATGGACACGATCGTCTGGTTGTCAGTCTCGTCGGAGGCTTCGTTGAGGTCGGGCAGAGGGTCGCCCACGTGGTCACTCTGTCGGGACGCGTCAGCCTGCACGTCGCTGGACATCGTCGAGTATCCCTCGTCCTTGGCCCCGCTCTCCGGCGACTCCACGCCCGCCTCGCCCGTTTCCTCTTCCGTCGCCTTCCCCCTCGTAGCACCTTGAACGACGTTCATTTATTATAATACTTTTCATATAGAGCTAACAAAAAAATAATATTATTATACACTTTTATTCAAATCAAAATATAGTTGTTTGAGTGTTCCTTATCTAGTAATTTTAATGATCAGTGTTGAATGTCATACTTTGCGTCTGTTCGGTGGGTTGTGGCACGCTGAGGCTCAGCGTCGCTGGTCTCGCTGGGGGTGCCCACAATGTAGGGTCCACCGCGGACAAGGCTCGCGCTAAGTTAGCTGGGGTCACCTCCAGGCCCTGCGGAAACATCGACAAATTACACGTGACCTTGAGATGTCCGAAAATCCGCTCCGATGTCGTGCCTCGTATTTTCTGGCTCGACGCCAGTAACAATCGATTGCCTGTTACTCGAGATTATTGTGCGGCCTTGAGAACACGAATATATCGTAGCATATTACACGACATCTTATAAAATCCTAATACATTTTACACAGAACTATGTTACTTATTACAAAAATAAATTGGAAATCTTACAACAACTAACTTTATGTAGGAAATTTAATATCTGATAACATAGTCGTATGTTTGGGGTCATGTAATTAATTGTCTGAATTGTAATCTACCTTCAGCTCGGTCCAGATGTCCGCTAGTATTTGATGTCTCCGCTTGTCGTCCTGGCTGAGGGGGTGAGGCTGAGGAGCCGGCGGCGCGGGGGGAGGGGAGTCTCTGAATGATACCAACGACCCGCAAGAACCGACATCCACTAAGTGTACTGAAAATGATCACAAAAATCTCCATAAACAAACTACCTCATCTTTTCTGTACTATTCTTTAGATATAGACATATATATAGTTAAACACATGTTTAAATTTTGTTTTCCGTTTAACTTATCAGTGCGAATCCGTCAAAATGTTTTATTTTCGAAGTAAAAATCGACTATATATTGCTTATGACTTGTATTTAACTAACGTGGTGATTAATGCTCAAGCTTCTCCATGTGAGAAGAGGCCTGTGCTCAGCAGTGGGCTCTTATAGGCTGATGATGTGAAGTGAAATAAATATAGTGTGTATGCTATATTATAGAAATAAGTCTAAAGTCTCCTTTATAAAACATCTCATGTATACATCTAAATATGGTGGACTTACCATTGGTCCAAGCTTTCATTATGCTATGTTAAAATCTTCTAATTTTATTAAATAATAGAAGACCTGGCGAACTTCGTATCGCCCTATAATCAAGAAATATCTATTACGTTTTTTTATTTATATTTTTGGAGTTTACCTGTAAGCCATAAATCTCCGTGTTTTGAAGTGCGACAGAATGATTGACATATTAGTTAGTTGTCAAATCTAATGTCAAAAAAACGTTTGTATGGGAAATAGAAAAGGGCTGTTTTTATGGTTTTCCCAGTAATAAATCAATTTTTTTCAGCTTTTATGCCTTCCCTGAACCTCCACGAACATTTCAAGACTAAGATAAGATAAATCAGTTCAGTTGTTCTCGAGTTTTAGCGAGACTAAGGAACAGCAATCCATTTTTATATATGTATATAGAAGATAGAAGATGACTTAAAGCTACAAAGACGTTTCTTTTCAAACCCAGTAATTAACCACATTAGAGATGATTTAACTATCGGATCTTCATTAGCTGTAGGCTTACCTTGTAGGTCCCTGTTCGTGTGTGGCGTGAGGGGTGTGGCTGGCGAGGGTCTTGGTTGTGGCCGCAGCTGTCGCACGAGGAGTGAACTCAACGCTCTGTTCTGAGCTTCCAACTCGCGGATACGTGCGCGAGCGCAGCCCAACTCCTCACGAACACTCTGATACAGTCAAATGATATTCAAATTTCAATAAGTATTATTCTAATCGGTCGTAAAGTTCCAAGATTATCTTATAATTTATTTAAGTTAATAAGATTGAAACAATAATAAATATATTTCATAATTACAAAGCTATGTGACTGTTAGGAGATTTGATATAATAAGTAAATGAATAACAGAGTACCCTGCATTATTAATAAACATTAATGTAGCATATTAATAAGATTTCGTAATGTTTATAACAAGTACATGTTCTTTAGGGTATGAGTACTTGTCATTCCCATTATCCCGCTACGAACATCCCTCCGTCTTCGAAATAAAGGCGTATATTTTAATTATGCTTCATTAGCTAAATTAAATTCGAGTAAGTAATTGACGGGAGGTAATTAAGACGAGATGGAAGATACGGGCGGCGTTGTTGTAAATGTTGCCAGTTCAACAAACATACGTTTATATATATGGAGTTTACGTATTATAATTGAATAATTCCTACAGAATTTAATCGTCAAAGTTAGTTAATAATGTTCTATTTGAAGGATTTCCTTCAAAATATTGTTTAATATTTTTTTGAAAGCCCTGTTTAAAAAGTGTTTTAAAATAATAAATACGGTAACCAATTGTGACGACATGATTGGATGAAATCACTTATCTTCGTATACAATACAGTTCCTTTATTCCTTGATCCTGAGTTAACTACATAGAATTTCACGCTAAATTACTACCTATATATTATTCTAGGATCTAAACTACATTACTCTAAAGTTTCATCAAAATCTGTCGAGCATTTTTTGCATTAACGAGCAACAAACATCCACTCATCTTTCCAAGCTATCTGATTAACAATACGAGCATTTATAATGGTTTTAATTATCATTATTAACGTAGTTAATGTCTCGATTAACCGTCCGTGTGTTCGTCATTGATGCAACTATTGTAAAGTAATCAACGTCGTTTCACAGATTATACTTGATGGATCGCCCCCATGTATACAGGGCCCGCCATGTGTCTTATAATACAACGATCTATTGAGCAAACCCGTCTGATAAACTTGTATATTTATATCATTAACGGCTTGTACATTAAGTAGTAACCGACTTAAGAACAAGTTAATTGTGATATATTTATCAACTTTATATTGTACTTTATAAGTTAAATTTAATTTTAGTAATATTAATTATAGTATGCACTTGTCATATGTACCTACTTTTTTCTTTTGATGTAGAAGTCGTCGGTACTAAATTTGATTGCGATTTAATGACTATGTTATGTTTATATTTAGATTACTTTATATTTTTTTATTCTCTTAACCAAATTGGTACTAGGTACATTTATTTTTTAAATTTTCGATTTTCATTGAGATCGTTTAGGAAAAACTGTACAGTTTTTTTGCTTTACGAAACTTATTATTTCATTTTATCTTATGTTAAAATCATAATCAGTATATTATAGTAAAATTAAAATCTATTTACCATCTGTCAACACAGGGCCGCGCCATCTTTATTCGTAAAGTTCCCGCGTAAATCGCAACCATAGGCATTCGTATAACATTTAAACAATCATCCACATTATCCAGATTATGCCAAGATTATAGTGGTTTCAAGTCCCGGCAGAATTATTACGGTTAAGCTTAGACTAAAATGTCCCATTTCACACGATTTATGTGCGAATGTTTGCCCAGCCACAGATATTCCTTCCTATAATTATGAGAAAACAATTTCCTGTTTGTATCTTAATGCCCAGGCCGGATTAAGAGATTTTAATGTCGGGCCGTTTTTTGCGGGTATTAATTTACGATGTTTTCCTTTATAATTTTATATAAGTGAATTACAGTTCGCGCGTTTGAGGAAAAACTTTTCAATTTAATTAGGACTACTTTATCAAATGTCTTAATGGATATCAAAATATCTGGAAATTTGGTTTGCAAGCTCATAGTATTTAGTATTGAGACTTCAAAAGGTTCTTTACTTGACGATTCCAATTTTTTTTACAACTTAAGCGTTGAATACTTTGACTAATACAAGTTACGTAATTGTATTATCTGTTTTATCGATATGTATTCACTTAGTTGTTCTCATTTCTATATATGTAAATTAATGAGTGATTATTTAAAAGGCCATTCATAAGTTGTACGTAATGAAAGACTTAAGCAGATCTGAACGTGCAAAGACTGATGACAGTCATTATATGTGATGAAACCGTTTCACTCTTAAAGGAAACTTGATTATTACCATCCTGAGAGTTTTTAAGTAACAATTAATATTATATTCATTAATTTAAACAAACAGCCACTCACACGATTCATTTCATAAGTAAAATTTTATTTCAACTCGGGACGGAGTATTGTAAAATCTGTGATATTTCAACTTATTGGGACATTTTATCTACTTGCTGTAAGCTTCCTATCGACCTATATATGAAGACTATTTTGCATAGGTCTTTTTGCATGAAATTCTAGACGTATATATTTCCTTACCTTCTGCGAGAGTAATGCTCGCACGACCTGCTGGGCCACATCATCCAGTCTCTTCTCGTGTTCAGAGTCACGCACGCCAGCCGACAGGGCCGTCAGTTCTTCACGGAGACGTTCGTTCTCGGCAGACAGAACTGATAGCTGACTTTGGTAGTGTGACGCTGATGCCTGGCGAAAAACAACAAAAAAACAAATAAAATATGCAGAAACAAAGTAACAAATGGTCTATGGCCTATAATTATTGCAAAAAACATAGCATAAAGATAATTTTAATATAGAACATGTGAATATATGTAGTATTGGATATTAAAGTCTATGTTGTATTCAGACATCGAGTCCCATCCTCGTCAACGTTTTTTTTTTTTGTATTCCCGATATAAAATACGAGCTATCATCCGAACTCTTAATTAAACGACCGGCCAGTACAAATTAAACAGACCAATTTAAATTGATCCATCTCAATGTTTGTCATTCTCAATTAAAACTGTAAAATGGACACCTAAACGAAAGGGTTCATCTGATATTGGTTACGGTTTTCGTGTGTTACGTTACAGCAATTTTGGAATGTAATCCGTCGCGGTAGAGTTTAGATTGTGTGAAATATGTTCAGAATAAACTTCGGCGAGAGGTTTTCATTAGTCATCAAGGGTAGACAAAGGGACTGTGTTTGTGCGTCTGTCTGTAAAAACAAGCGGTTGATACAGTGTCGGAAGGGTGAGGAGTCAATGGTTTCGTTCCGTGGATTCCGTTTCGTCATGGTCTCCGCTGAGCTTCACGAACATCCTTTGTTTCACGTGTCCTCGCTAATTTTGGGCTTTTGTTTAGCTTTTTTAATAAGAACCCGTACATAGAGGACTGCGAAATGCTTTCATGGCTAATTACTTAACAATCATGTTATACTCGACGATTTCGTGTTGTTATTTTGACTATGTATTTTTACCTTCATTCATAATTTAAGAAATTACTCAACTTCTAATATAGTAATATCTAATACGACTTTTATTTAAGATTAATTATGCATTTACTTGAGAAAGTATCTGCGTCAGATGGTTACCGAAACCAATTAAATTGGAAATTGCTTTTCAATCAGACGGCGAAATGAACGAATCACTTTTTGTCTCCGCACAAGACGTTCTTAATTAATGTGAAATATTGATTACAGACGTGCAACTACATTATTAATTGAAGTATTTCGTAAAACAATCGAAAGACTCACCAACGTGGATACAATCCCGTATTTTATTATGGTGGCGATACTATTGTTCAATATTTTGGCAAATTTCGTTAATTGTATTACCTTTTACTGACGTTTGAGCTGTCACTGTCAAATTGATAGCTTCTGTTCGAATTATAGCGAACATGCAACTCATGAGATTAATAGTTGCAAATCGATTTATGGCATACATTTTTATACAAAGGGTATCGAAGTGATTGCATTCACGGCAATATCTGGAATTAAACCTCGTGTCATTAATCATGGTAGACAGCGCCTTTGGTTGGCGACGCGTGAACTAGGGTCCGGCCGACGCTCGCAAGCCGACCTCCTCGCTGAACATGGTATATTTAATCTGTTGCTAAAAATGCTGTCATTACATCTATAGCAAGTGTGACGTTGACTTTTGACATATTTTTGGTTTATTGTTTAAAATGTTGCTACAATAATATTTTTATTACTATATTTTGCCCTTTTAATAAACTTTTAATTTTATATAATTATTTAATAAACTAAAATAAATATCTGGCAATTTTAATCTGTCGATATTAGTTTATTAAAGAATATTATAAATTATTTAAAAAGCTAAAACGTTCATGTTTAATTTAACAAACAGTCATTTTATCCATCGAAAGAACGAATTTCCTTAAAAATCTCAACCAATTATTGTTGCTCAAAAGTCTAGCAATATTTTAAAAAATTAAAATACCTTTTAAACGACGTGAGCTGTTTTCATTTAGTCATACTAGTTATAAAAAAAATCAAGAATAATAAAGGAATGAAAATATGAACATCTTTCATAGAGAAGAGAATAGATAAAATGAAACAGATTATATATAATGTATAGTAGTCGTATAATTGATTGTATTATTATCTAGAACAACGCTACTATAAATCAGTGGATGAATAAATCTTAACTCGTTCAAGCCTCGTAGCTCCGAGAAGGTAGGTGTGTTTCCATTGTTTTACTTTGAAATACATTTATTATCAAACATTTACTTTATGACATTAAAAAAATGACGTTAAACAGATTAAAAACAAATTTTAATCTATGGTATGTTGTTTTAACAAAAAAAAAAACTATTTTTTACGTCAAAGCGCTCTTTATATTAATAGCTTATTTAAATACGATTTTTATTTTGTTAATAAGAATAAATGACGTATATAATAATCTATTCGTTGTTCAATGGAGACGAGCTAATTGATTTCGTTAGTACAGAGTATAGTATAGTCCACCTGGGCAATGCGGCAACACAATTACCAAGACGATCCGCAGACTAGAGATGCAATACGCTGCAAAAACTAAAACCGCTGAATTAGCGCTTTACGCTGCATTGCTACCATTAATATTATTATGCACAGTATCCAAAAAGATTGATAAATTATCCATGTTATTCATTTTAGTTTTTTTTATTTGCATATCCTTATACTTTGCTAAATAAAAACCTCATTATTATAACTTTTTGATTTCGAGTGACTTAAAGTTAAGTCAGATAAATTTCCTTTGGATTATGAAAATAACTTGTTTTTAGTCAAATTTTGTTTATTATTTGTTTGTTTCGTGAATAATATCGGTTTACAAATAACATAACCGAATACGAGTCAAACGCAATTAGAGTGTTCGCGTACATTTAGTCTAACTGCGGGGAGCCCAGATATGAACCCCATGACCAACGGTAGTGATGTACCAATATATCGATAGATATAAATACATGTATAAAGGAGGTTTTATCTATATAAACTACTTTAAAATAATATGCGATGATTTTTAATCGTGCTGTATATATATGTATTAATTCCCAGTTATATGTTTTTTGTTTGTTTACAATATATTAATTTGAAGTTGCAATCCCTATCCGCTGCCCTCCTAACTGCGCCCTTGCACTTCGGAAGGGTGAAACTGAATTATTGTTTAGAGGGGCCTTTTAAACCGGGAAGGCCCGCCATTGTGTGAGGCCTATTTCCCGCTTTCCGCCATTTTAATTTTCCTACATTGGTGTTGCTGTCATTAGGTTGTCTATTTACACTTATTTGTAATTAGCCTTCAAATTTACTACTGAAATGTGTTATAGTTAAGATATATATATTTAATTCTCTAAGAAAACTTGAGTATGTGTATGTGTATGTGTGTGTGTGTGTGAGAGAGAATTTTTTACTACATAATGATAATAAATATGGATTTTTATTAAACCTAATGTACATGTGTACGTATCAGTTGCAAATAGTTTATACGTAAATATTTAGGGATTAATTATTAAAGTTGGTGCTAAAAAACTTTATTAAATATATATGTAAATAATAAATATCGTTCTGTTATCCAAATAAATTCGTTCAATTACCACTCCTACCAATTTCAATTTGTTAAAAAAAATCAAGATTTAATAAAACGCCACTCGTGTTCCTTATTATAGAAACGTAATTTGTAACATCGCGATCTACGAGCAATTTTAAATTTAATATAATTCAAGGTTCTATTTAGAAAAAAAAAAATTGCTCAAAAAATTCTTCTTACAGCTCATAAAAACTTGGCAAATCCTTCAGAATTATGAAATATTAACTTTCAAATTGTTCCCCAAATATTTTCTAAGCTACCAAATTAAAAATTCACCGAGGATCCCGTTTACAAATACTGTCCAATATATAATAAACCTTCATGGAGTGTTTTCGTAATATATGATAAGGGTATCGATGGGTCTAGTAACGCTGGTTGTGTTCGGGGTAGGAATCAAATAGAAATATTCAAAATATTTCATTACCGGACTGTTTGTCCGTCCCCCTCTTGTATATATGTACGGATACATTGAATAGAATGGAAACTTTGACGTCTGAGAATATTTGCTTCAAGTCTGCTCTCTAAAGGGCCTTTGGAGTCTGAATTAAAATACTTGTGGATCTACTCGTACGTTCAGATGTCGGCTGTCGTTGTTATTATTTCTAAATATATAATGGAATATCTGTAAAAGTTTTCGACATTCCCGCCCTACATCCGTGTTATTTCAAACAATGACAAACGTTATGGTTTCTAGCGTGGAATATGAATTAAAAAGGTATTTTTAGCTATGCCCGACATTTGGTCATTGTTGCTGACTGAATCCCCTCGAAAAGGAGCATTTATTTGTGTATTTGAATACGAATTTTGATTTTTCCATTTCCCGTCACTTAAATGATCCTACCTCCGCTCCATATTGTGTGTGCCCCTATTTTTAATATCTGCTTTCCATATTTTCCTATTGTCAGCCACTTCGAGGAGAGGGAAGACAGATTTTTAAAAATAAAACCTTCATATTAAATATTAAGGGTATTTCCAAATATGCAGCAAGACTTATAAATGGTCAGAGTTAGAAACAATGGGATTTACAAATTCACAATAACATTAAGCTTGGATAAGTCTAATAGCATAAAATTCTCATCTCATCTCATGTAGAGGGCCGAAGTGCACTCAGCTTCAGCAGATGTATTAACAAGCTTTGTCACCAAACATTGTGGACACTTACATCAAGAAAGACCCGCACTAATTAAGCAAAAAACATCGCCCCCTTCAAACATTCCGGTCATAATCCCTCAAAGAACGTCCGAGGAGAGGACCAGAAACACGAGATCTCTCCACCCCTGTTTACAAGTTGAACAAACGGGGATAACATGGCAAACCTGTGGACCAAGTTATGCCGGTTTGTGTGTTGGTACTTTCGTAAATTAATTCCTCTATCTGAAGGGGCAAATATAAGCCATAATCCAAAAATGATCGGCTGTCCCCTTCACGATAAATGCTCTTTAATGTGTCTAAATAGCCGAGAAGAGAGGCAGCGTGTTTGCTTTGAGCAACTGTGAATGGGGATTATAATATCATATTAATTGGACAAAGTTGTAAAAAATTAGGAAACCCACAGAATGCTAGTTTAGTATTTCATGTAATGGCAATAATATTTTACAAATTGACTTAAGACAAATGTTGAATTTGCTTTACGTTTAAGAAATCTTTTACTAAAGGACTTTTCAAAGGCAGAAGAAAAGAACAGTGATTTCCTGCAACTTGTTAAACAATACGACTATTGAATGGACCTGGTTTTTGTTTTTTTAAATGAAATAACTAATAAAAATCTTGTTGAGCCACTTTTTAACATATTAATCAGTTACATACATTGCTTTTATTACTTTAGTCTATTTAGGGATTACATAAAAGAATGCAGTAATGTAAATAAATGTTTTTCATAAATAAATTTTGTCTGAACAATACATGTAGATAAAAAATAATTAAAAACTTGCAAATAATACTTGAGAAGCTTCAGCGGCTTGGTCAATACTTTTTTGGATGATAGTTCTTTGGAATATTCAATACAATATTTGTATTATTACTATATCTAACATCCTAACTTGTATCTTTCTGTGACTGAACTCACCTCCAGCGCGACGGATAACGAAGCCTTCTCCTGCTTCAGAGTTTCCACGCGGCCTTTGTATTGCAGCAACGAGCGAACCGTATCCTCCATTCTGAAACAAATAACAAATACATATTAATAACAATTCTAACCAACATAATAGTTGCAAGTAAAATAATATGTGCTAATTTTAATATATTGAGATCAATATTGTATGTACAAGGATTAGGCTACAAAAAAAGTATGGTTTTGGTACTATGTTTAGACTAAATATAGGAAAACTAAGAGACTGAGCTGAAATTATATGATAATTGGTATAACTAGCACGATAATGACATAACATAATAACAATTTTAACCAACATAAAAGTTGCAAGTAAAATAATATGTGGTAATAAGTACATGTACAAAATTTTGTATGTACAAGGTTAGGCTACAAAAAAAGTATGGTTTTGGTAGGTACTATATTTAGGCTAAATAAGGAAGAATATAAGACTCAGCGGAAATCATAAGATAATTGGTAATACTAGCACGATAATGAGCATCTATAATATTGATATCAACCAAAGGAAATTTTAACCTAATTTAGTTAAATGATAATTTTTGCTATAATAAGTCGCAGTCGTTTACAGAACAATGGTATTCTGTAAATCTCTGTACATTATGCGAGCGGATCCACTCAGGAATAATCCGGAGAAGATTTGCATACACTGAGACTTTTTTGCATGTAAATTTGGAGACGAAATGTGTCATAGATTTTAGGAGGATAATACTATTCTTTAGACAAACTAACATTTTCTTATGGCACATATTTAACAATTCTTAGTATAATCTAATAAGTTCTTGATACGATTTTGAATGTACCTATTAATCAATATAAAAATCTTATTAAAATATTGATTAAAAGCATCTTACTATTTTGAACATGTCGTTGTGTAAACGATTTTAAGTTATTTTTATCTCTCCGTTAACCTCAAATATAATATTTCTTCAGTACTTCAAAGTCTTTAATTTAAAGTGGTTTACTTTTGAGCCAAGGAAAGTCGGTGAAGCTTAAGAGATAATTCTTTGGACAAAAGCTCCGAATAATTCCGCTTTAATTATTAATACACCGTTGAGTGCGGATTAACGCTTTTTTATAATGAGCTGTTTTTTTTTGTTTTGTTTTCTTTGCGGAATTTAGGAGTTTAATTTTAGGTAAGTACAATAAATATTTATTCTTAAAGAAGCGCAGTATATTAAATTGAAAGTGAATGATATTTTTACAGTTACACGTTTTATAACGATATTTGTTCATATAATAATAATTCAGATAATAAAGTTACAAAAGCCTTTTGTGCTCTAACGGAGGTAAACTCAACGAAGCAAATTGGCACAAGATGGAGATCGAATGAATGAACTTTTTCAATAACTCCGAATGGAAACGAACGTAATGTTATGCGATATTTCATTCGTGATTTCATCTTTTTCGACATCTTTGATGATTTCATTTTATTTTTCAATGTGAGAATATAAAGGTATTACATTGTTTTTTAGTCTTAATTTTACGTTGCATAATGTATAGGCTTATATGTATTTTAATCATTTAATTGTTGTTTGTTCTTGCACATTTTCTAAGCAAATATGTAAAGATTTATTTTGTTATGTATTGATCAGCCGGTGTAAGGCGTCCGCTAGCTTATTACGATGTAATTTAATGTATTTTTTTTACAACCCGCGTTTTTTGTACAGGCAATGTTTTATTGCCAGAAGTCACGTCACTCTATCGACCGGACCCCATATTTTTGTTTTGACTTCTTTTAATATTGAAGTTTGGTGTACGTGAAAGTTGACGCCATGTTTTATAATGTGACCACGACAATATGTATTTACATTAAATGATAAATAGTATTTTAAATGTGAAGTATTCATACTGTTTATAATAAAACCTCCGTAGAATCCACTATGACATATAATGTCTGTCGGTGTTGCCATAATAACTATTCCAAAACAGGTTCATAATCCTTTCGGACGTGTGTTGTGAATATGGCAAGACTCCCCTGATACAAATAACTCTCCCTTGACCAGATGAGCCTCGTTAATCGTACCTATTAAATTGGCGCGGATTTAGTGACAGTTTTAAAGATTAAAAAATCTAATATTAGTACAGACTATAAAACTATAATATCAAAGGTATATTAGTAATTTTAAGTAGCAAAAAGTTTTGAATCCTCAATCGTGTATGTCAAAAATTATTGACAAATTGCACCAAATTTTAGGGGATCAGTTTAAATCGACTTGCCTAACATGTCTGTGAAGGGTTGGTTCAATTTTGAAATTACTCGTTGAAAGTTCGGACCGATTTTTGAGAAATGGCGTGCGCAATTAGTGTTACATTACAAGGGAATAATAGATGTACAGACAACAATGAACGTGGTTGGGTAAAATGAATAAAGTTTTATATAAATATATACCAAATAATGAGTAAGAGTCAATAAGCAGTAACAATGAAATGGAAGCCAATACAAGCTCAATATTTATTGTATGAAAACATTATGTATAATTTCATACGACAATAAGAAAATTTATTTTTTATTTCAGACATGTTCAACAATAATTATATATACTATATATCCATACATTATAAATGTATATATTTAATATATAATTCGTGTTAATAATTTGATTCCTCGACTATCCTTAATAAATTTTTGCCGAAAACACACGCGACCAGTCACGCGAGTCGGTAATGATTGTTTGACAGGTGAAAATGAGATTCAAACTGCATTTTGATGATTCATTATCGTTGATAAAAAAGGTTTTTTATGCGTAATATATTAAATTATCAACCTGGCGATGAGGGTAAGTCGCCTTAATTATTATAATTATTATCTGTATCCACAAAATGGCGCTAGAAAAAATTAATTCAAAAAAATCATTGATGTTCATATCTTCTCTTCTATCTATATATATAAAAATGGATTGCTGTTCCTTAGTCTCGCTAAAACTCGAGAACGGCTGAACCGATTTGGCTAATTTTAGTCTTGAAATACTCCTGGAAGTTCAGGGAAGGTTTAAAATGTGAGAAAAATTGGAATAATTGCTGGGAAAACCCTAAAAACTGCCCTTTTCTATTTCCCATACAAACGTTTTTTTGACATTAGATTTGACAACTAACTAATGTCAATCATTCTGTTTGATTGAAACAGGAAAACCTGATTATTTATGGTCTCTATGACGGAATAGAGTTCGCCTGGTCAGCTATACCTACATATATTACTCTTGACCAAACTAACGCGGACGAAGTCGCGGTCAAAAACTAGTTTAAAATAAAAAAAACATGTCATACTTAGTTTCAAGTCAGTCTTATTAGAATATTTTATATATATATTCATTCCTATTATATACATTTTTTCTCTTTTGTAATATTATTTAAATCGGCTTGTTTTTTATTTCATTGTGTACATTAATATGTTGTTAAGAGAAATTTATTCAGTTGTTTTAAATGTAACATGCTGTCCGATATTTTGTATCAAAAATCGAATTCAACAATGGAAGTATACGAAATAAAAAAGCAAAATGAATTTAAGTTATCATACTTTACTTATTACAAAGTATATATATTATTAATAGTATGTTCTCTTAAGATATTTTTAAATATTTTTTATCAAGAATTTCGTATTATTCGTATGAGTAAATTGGGTCACGACACCTGAGTCGGCTATCAAACGACATAGAAACACCATTGACTGCGTATGAATTTTTTAATAAAGTTAAAAGGATTCTATCTTATAATAAGTATATAAAGGAAGAATCCCCCTTATTTTTCATAACAATAAGATTCCATGAGATCTACGCCATTTTCACCTACAAGAAAACTTATATAGGGACTTAAAAAGCACGTATTACAATCATTTTCGTATGACGCAATCAAATAAGGTAATATATGTACATATATACAAAATTCTGTTAGGCAGTTTAGTCGAATATATAATTTTGGTTACATAAAGCCAGAGTTCTGTCCGTACGATCGTTTTAACAATATTACAATGTCCTTTTCCTTCACCCAATTAGGACGATCAGCCCTCGGCGATAACGGGAGGTCAAAGGTTAGAGGGCTGCAATATTAAGGATATGCATGCATACTGAATTACATCGACAATATAGTAAAGGATTTACATATGAAGAAGTATATTTAGGCCTTGTATCCAAATTATATTCCTTTCTAGAAGTAAATTGTTCTGTTTATAAACACAATAGTAATAAGGAAAAGAGGAATCTTGTCCTACTTAACAAAATTCCCAGCAGTGTTTTGTAACAATAAACCACAAAAGGCACTGAGAGAACGCAGCTCTAATATTTTATATGAATGGCAAATAAGCAGACTTTTCTTAAGACTTCCTTTGTGATGCACTTTGCGGTCAGTAATACTGTGTTTACTTTGTAGTATTTTCTTAATGAAAAATCTTAGAATAGGTGTTAAGTATATCAAGCGCGATTCGCTTTAAAGCTACTGTGAAAATACTAGTATATAAATTGTGGTTGAACGTATTTCGCTGTCATCGCTTTAAGTTGCTGACGCCACGGCGTCTGAGGAAATTGACATGACGGCTAAGCATTTTATAGGCTGTGAGCATTGAGTCAGACGGCGGGGATCGATACACGGTGGGCTTTGAAACGCTTGCTTCGGTTTCAACAAACCATTATTACAGAAGCTATGTGTGTCTTTGTAAGCATTGCTTCGAGAAAGTTTCTTACTATAAAGCTAAACTTTATAAGCTACAGTGCAACTTATTAGAAATGTTCAAGTCTTTTAAATGTATTATGAAATTTTTTTGCTACTTTTTCTTTGTTTTCAATTAGGGCAGGAAGATTAGCGAGCGGTTGTTTTAAAGAGTTATGTAACCGTACACTCACGCTCAGTGCATTGAAGTGTACTGTGCAGCTAATATCTGAGCCCTCACTTTTAGCTTGAGATGTACCTTTGTAAGCCGTAATTACAGCCTCTCCAGCTTCAAAATGTAACTCAATAGAGCATTTGTGGTGCATTATAATGGTAGTGCACTCGTCTTGAAAGATCGGACTGATGTCTGTGAGAGTAAGCCTATTTCACTTTTGTGCAATATTAATTCGT